AGTAGCTTCTCGGACTGAGGCCTCCCTTTTTGCTTCACTGGTTCAAACCTGGGATCGATGCTCAGCCTATGTGTGGTGACTTCCGCCGAAATCCCTGTCATATCTAAATGGGACCAAGCAATGCAATTCATATTATCAATAAGAAACTTAAATGAGTTTTTTCCTGAGTTCGGGGGTTAATCCCGTTCCCAGATGTACCTTTCTCTTGAGCGGTTGACTTGGTAGCATCGGACTCCTCGGAAACAACGAAGGTTCGAGGAGTAAGGAAGTTCTCTTCTTCGCCTTCGGTTACCTGTTATTCCAATTCCGTCGAGGCCGGGAGCTGTGATTGCTACTTAGCCGCCTGCTTACCTTTGGAGCTCGATTTCTCCGAGGTCAAGGGTTCTGCTATTGGCACCACTTCCTCGATTGCAAACATCTCTTTTGCAGCATGCTGTTCTCCGTGGACTGTTTTCACTCCTTCCTCTATCGGGAATTTCATCATCTGGTGGAGAGTCGAAGGCACTGCCCTCATGTTGTGTATCCATGGTCTCCCGAGGAGTGCGTTATACCTCATGTCGCCTTCGATGGCATGGAACCTGGTGTCTTGTATGGTCCCAGCTACGTTTACTGGCAAGATAATCTCTCCTTTTGTTGTTTCGCTTGCCATGTTGAAGCCATTCAGCACCCGGGATGCAGGTACAATCTGATCTTGCAGGCCGAGTTGTTCCACGACCCTTAATCTGATTATGTTCGCCGAGCTACCTGGATCCACTAAAATACGTTTAACTTGAATTTTATTTAAAAGGATAGAGATTACCAGGGCGTCGTTATGAGGCTGAGATATGTCTTCTGCTTCCTCGTCACAGAATGACAGGACGTCCTCGGGCACATAGCTCCGAGTCCATTTCTCTCTTGTGATTGATACTTTGATGCGCTTGAATATAGGTCGTTGAGGGACATCGACTCCGCCAATGATCATGTGGATTACATGCTGTGGTTCTTCTTGCTCATTTTTCCTTGTGTCTCTCTCCCTGAGGCGATTCTTAGCCCGATTTCTTAGAAACTCTCGAAGGTAGCCCTCGTTGAACAACCGAGCCACCTCTTCCCTTAGCTGCCGGCAATCTTCTGTCCTATGGCCATATGTACCGTGATATTTGCACATCAAGTTCGGGTTTCTTTGAGAAGGATCGGTTTGTATAGGCTTGGGCCACTTGGTATCTTTGATCTTTCCAATAGCCGACACAATTCCTGATGCATCCACGCTAAAGTTGTACTCCGATAGCCGAGGAGCCTCCGCGGGATCGGTATGCTTGTCGAATCCGTTTTTATTTACGAGTCCCCGGGAACTTTGACCCCGATCATTTTTCCGATCGTTCCGAGGGGCATTTCGACCTGAATCGTGGTTCCTTCGATCGGTACACGGTTGATACCTTTCCCTGATCGGTCTTGATTCCCTGTTCGCATCCTTCGGGGGCTTGGCCACAAACCTGTTTGGATGAACTGAACCCGATGGAGCTCCCAATTGGTCGTCCTCGACCCTGATCTTTGACTGGTAACGGTTGTGCGCATCTGACCACGTCACAGCTGGATACTCGATCAAGTTCTGCTTTAGTTGTCGAGAAGCAATCGAGCTTCGTTCGTTCAAACCCTGCATGAAGGCTTGTACTGCCCAGTCATCGGAGACCGGCGGCAGTTCCATTCTTTCTATCTGAAACCTGGACACGAACTCCCTTAACATCTCGTCCTCCCTTTATTTTATTTTGAAGACATCTAACTTTCTCGTGGCCACCTTTATGGCCCCGACGTGGGCTTTAACGAAGGCATCTGCTAACATAGCAAATGAATCAATAGAGTTAGGAACTAAGCTGTGATACCAAATCATTGCTCCTTTTGAGAGTGTTTTCCCAAACTTTTTCAACAACACTGACTCGATTTCATCATCATTTAAATCATTTCCTTTGATTCCGCAAGTGTACGAAGTGATATGCTCGTTGGGGTCGGTTGTTCCGTTATACTTGGGTATATCAGGCATGCGGAATTTCTTAGGGATGGGCATCAGAGTTGCGATCTGAGGGAATGGTTTTTGTATGAACTTCTTGGCATCTAGACCTTTCAAAACTGGAGGTGCCCCCGGTATCTGGTCTACACAGGAGTTATAAGTCTCCACCTTCTTATCGTTATCCTCAATTTTCTTTTCTCCGGACTCGATCCTTTTAGTGAGCTCTTCCAGCATTTTCATAATAGTGGGGTCAGTCCCCGAGTCGTTTCCATTTGGCCCTTCGGGCGTTGGTTCAGCACGTCGGTTGTTCTCGTGTTCAGCTACACTCGGGGTCTTGTTTGTACTTTGAAGTTGAGCGATGGCGATTTGCTGAGCCTGCAACATCTCAAATATCACCTGGAGGCTGACTCCCCCGCCTCCTACTCCTGGTGTTCCTTGGTCCCCCGGTCGAGCGTCCCTGCGCACACATCCCTTCGGGATCTGTTCCTAGGCTGGTGTTTATAGCAATATGAGAACCAACATCAACTGCTTCCATGTTTGGCACTTCCCCAGGGTTTACCGGTGGTACACAGACCCCTACATTGTTGTTTTTTCCAAGATCCTCATTGTCATGAACATCTGCGTTTTATGTTCTAGACATATTTAATCCTGAAAATCAAAAAATCTTGACAAGGAAAAGTGTAAAGATAACGTGTGTAACGAGAATCAGTAAAGAAATAATCACTATTATCTTTAGCCCCACGGTGGGCGCCAACCTGTTTACCTCGAAAAATACGAGTAACAATTAAAATTGATTTGTGGTTTTAAAGATACGTGATTTAATTCAATACCAATTGATAATCAAGAAATAAGAAGTAAAAATGAAAGATAAGGGTGAATCAAACCAATCTTACTCAACAGCAGTGACCTCGAGCACAGGGACCTCGAGGTAGACTTGGTATAATAAGAACAAGTATAAAAGCAAAGTAAGAACAATAGAGCTAAAGGACAATGCTGATGAATAATAGGCGAAAAAGCAGAGAGTATATTCCTTTCTCAGTAAAAAGATGGTCTTACAAATGACTTTTTATAATAGAGGAACCCTAAATAAAAAATATTTCTATTTACAGCAGGGAATATTCTTGTTACAGCTGTCTAACCGCCTAGTACGGAATTGTACGATCTTATTCCGGAATTTGCGCCACGATCTTAGGGATATAGCAGGAATCTAGCTCGCTCTGGTACAAATCCATAACGGTACTATTTCGAGGTCGAGCACACTTGACCTCGGTATTCCTCGAACTCCTGTCTCCGGGCATTACACTCTGTCTTCGAGCTCGAGCCTGGTCCACCAGTTTCGAACTTAACCTCTCCCGAACTCGGGCCTGGGGTGGAACCTCGATCTTCTAGACCGGGAGCATATGATTTTGACCGTATACACACTACAAAAAATGGAATTAGCTACGAACTTCGTCGCTAATCTGTAGCTAAATCGCTCGTAGCTAGCATAATTTCTTGATAATCTGCCGTTAATTTGTTGCTAGATAAAATTAGCGACTGAGTTTTCTGTTTATCTAGAACATTTGTCCATCGCTAAAACCTTATTTTTTAGTAGTGAAAATAAAAGTACTATCACTTTTATTTTTCGAGATTCAAACTATATGACTTTGACTGATATTTTAAAATATATATTATTAATCATATTAGCATATGAAATTATAACTAATAGTATCTTTCATATAGTTTTTGCATATTTAAATTCTAAAATATTAAGTTGATCTAATTAATTTAACTTCTAAAATTAAAGTCAAAAGTGACACTTTTGGATGGGAGCAACAAATACTCACATAGTATTTATATTAATATACTATATTAAATTCACAAAGACACTTAGCAAAATATCGTTTGCCTTTTTTACCCTTTAAAAATAACTTTTACAAGTGACAAAATTACAATTTAAGTTAGTTTCCTAATACCTAAGACTTTGAAATCAATTAAAATTTGCATATTGATTTTTTCTTATTAAAATAGGTAAAAATTATAATATTTAAGAATTTAAAATCAATAATATTTTATCCTATATAAATCATACTAAATGAAAATTTCAAAATACATCATTTGTACAACACTTATCAAATTAAAACGAGAAAAATTATTTGATACCACATCTAATCATACTAAACCATACAAGCCTAAATTTATATTATAAAAGCACGGAGCCCTACATAAAATGCTAATTGACTTTTTTTATCATTTTAAAATAATTTGTGTATTGAATAAAAATATAGTGGAAATATTTTACTAACATTTAAGATTTAATATTAGTTAAAAGTTTTACTAATTAAATATTTTCTTATTTGAACTATATAGGAAGTCCAAATATTTAGGTTTCAAAATGGATTATACATAAAAAAAAAACATCTACTTTAACATACACACACTTAGTGAATTCAACAACCTTTTCTGGTGATTTGTTCGTCCTATTAAATTTTCATGTTCTAGTAATATTTTCGTTCCTCGTGCACATTTTGTGACAAAGTTATTAAATAACATATATATATATATATATATATATATATATATATATATATATATATTAATAACTAAAACCTCACTACATCAGTAACATTAAAACCATTGAAAGGAGATAAACTGAGAAGACATCTGACTCATTTTTTTAAAATTTATGTTATTTGATACTTTTTTAAAGGATCTTATAAACGATTCAGTGTTTAAGAAAAAAATTTAAACCTTAAATCTTCCATCTTCAAGGGCTATGTGTTTTTACTTATTGAACTAAAAAGAAAGTATGATAACTTGTGAAAATTGAACCGATATTATGAAATTAGAATATAATTTAAGGTGAATATATTAAATAATTATTGAGGACTTTTATGAATGAATTTTTTATATTGAGTTAGTTGTATAACATTAATATTTATCAATTTCAGAAGCTTATACATTATTTTATAACATAATTATAATTTTGTAATTTTCTTACAAAAATTACTATTGAGATGGGAATAGGCGAGTGTTCTAAAAAGATTTAACCTAAATTGCACAAAACAGAAAAACCCTCAAAACACAAAACCCAAAACCTCGTACTGGCGGCAGTAGTACCACATTTCCGCCGTCTCTTTTGCTTTCTCAGGTACTATCCTTCTCCCTTCTCCCTTCTCCGAAATGGACCAATTTTTATAATTTATGTTTTTTTTTTCAATGTTGAAAGTATTTTTTGGGTGCTGTGGCATTTGTTTTTGTTCCAGGGAAATCCATCGGTAAACAATGTGGGCCGCCATTAAAGTTCCATCGAATATCCATGGAGGAATAATTCATTACAACTGTAGCAGCAAAAATGGTAATAGCAGAGGGCGAAAATCTTTGGTGAAAATGTGTTCTACTTCTGACCAACATGTTCAGCTCATTCAGAAAACGCCTTCAATCGATGCACTTCCTATAATGGTACTTTCCCGTCAATCTACCTGGCATTATTATTACTTGTTGTTTCAATAATTTGCTGTAGTAGCGACTACGCGATGACATTTAATTACACGGGCTAAAACTGTTCTATATATTTTATGAGTTTTAAAGTTATATTCACCATCCTTGTAAGGAATCTTTACACTATCATGTCACACCTTTAGTCTGTAGATATCCTTTGAGTGACCTTACAGTGTAAAAAATTATTAACAGTTAGTGTACATAACTTAAACTCACGTTTTACGCCAATTGCAATTGGTGGTATCAAATATGGTAGTCTCATCAAAAGTTAAGCTATAGTATAGCATGAATTTGTATTTTTAACTATGTTATATGTGAGTACTTTTTAATTCAGATTGATTAAGCTCAATTTTTGTTTGGTTCTATTTGATGAAATAAAGGTGAATGGTTGTACTGGAAAAATGGGCAGGGCAGTGCTTGAAGCATCAATCTCTGCGGGACTTCAACCTGTTTCTGTATGTTTTAGTGGTCCGGAAGATGCAGGAAAAATTGTGGAGGTGAGTGGAAAAGAGATAACTGTGCATGGTCCTTCGGACAGAGAAAACATCTTGTCCTCTGTCTTTGAGGAACACCCGAATTTAATTGTAGTGGACTACACAGTGCCTGCCGCTGTGAATGGTAAGACAAAGATTCAAAAACTTATTTTCGAGTATCTTTTGGCTGTTCTGATATGCTACACATGTATTGATCTCCTTTTTGTTTTGATTTTATTGTGTTTGATCCCAATGCTCAGATACTTTTGGATGTCTACGAATTACTTTAGACCTGCTGAATCACTGGTATTGAAAATAAAAGGAAATAAGGATCAAACAATACCGCTGTCCTATTGAAGACAAATGTACATATCCTACTGCTGTGCCTGTACTAAGTCCTCTCTGAAATTTGGGGGGCTTTATTAGTTATAAATGTTTTTTTGTTATTAATAGTGTGGAATTACAATCTTGAAGGAAGCATATCCACATGTTATCATAAACAATAGGTTAGCAACATTGCCGCTGGGCTTTGATCTAGTGGCAAGAGTTCAGCACGTGAGTGTGGGTTTTAGGCACACATCACAAGTATGGACCCTGCCGCAGCCAAAAGCATGGGAATTAAGTAGAGAAAGTTAGAGGGGCAGGCTCATTATCTATCGAGTTTCGAACTGTGCGCCATTGGCATCGGGGATTTCTCCGTTATAGAAGAAAGGAAAAAAGGTTAGCAACATTGGTTGACCTTATCACAAGAAGCAGTTGGAGTCTATTCTTGGAAGTATGCTTTTGAAGAGATATTCAGTCTCTGGAATGGAAGAAGTAGACAACATCATATACAAGAACTATAGTTGCACAAGAATAGGTGAAGGGGACTGCAGAATGATGTGGACAGCAGCGGAAACATTTTAGTGGCTAGGTTTTACATGACACATCACACATGTCTAATACAAGTCAACTTGCAGAGAAGATGGTTTCTCTTTTTTTTTGGTTGTTGTGAAGGTTCTGGTAGATCTTTAAGATATATCCTGCTAATTGCCACTTGGCAAATTGTGTGTATATTTTGGAACCTTTAAGGTATTAAGTGCGTGATGCTGGGAAGCAAGTAGTGACTAGCTGGTAACAGCAGAAGCTTATGATTATATGCAGACATGGAAAGCTGTTCCTTTATGAATATTTTGGACAGTTTTGTTAGAAAGAAACCACAAGTGTTGAGAGTAAGGCATAGAATATTTCTCTTATAAAGTGTAGATGTCTTTATGACTTAAAAATTTTGGTGTACGGGGAAGGTTGATAATGATTTTTGATAAAATGCTGGACGTTATAGATTGTCTACATACTCAGATACACAATCATCCTGACGCTGAAGTTTGTATAAATAAAATTTACCAGCATAAGTAGGTTTCTGTGATATCTATTGCACATGTCTTTAGTGGAGGGGAGAAGAGGATGCGGAATGAGGTTTAGAAAACAAAAGCACCAAAATGATGTCTATCGCATTCTCCGCAGGAGATGCCATTGTAATGTTCTTGTTACCACTATGATCCTGCAGATAATGCTGAATTATACAGCAAAGTTGGAGTGCCTTTTGTGATGGGAACCACTGGTGGAGATAGGGAGAAGCTTTACAAAACAGTGGCAGACTCAAAAGTTTATGCTGTGATCTCACCACAAATGGGAAAGCAGGTTTACACATTTTGCTCTTCTATTTTCTTTTAATAGTATGCCAGACTTTAGTTTAACAGGGGGTATACCTTGCCTCTGTTTTAGGTGGTAGCTTTTCTCGCAGCCATGGAAATCATGGCCGAACAATTCCCTGGAGCTTTCTCCGGGTACACTCTACAGGTTTGTCTTCTTCGTCGTGCGAATTGACCATTGGTTTACAAGCTCTTGTATATTCAGCCAATGTTTCTTATTGAGACCTTGATAACTAAAACAATTTCAGATTAAATTGAAATGCTGACTATATTTTGTATGCTTTTATTCTTTTACCATGAATGTGCTTAGTTGCATTACTTGCATGGTATCCTTGGTTTCTGATCTCGTTGACAATACATGTATATGAGGTTAACATAAATTCTTTTTCTTCGGAGATTTGCATATATTAGACCCAAATGGCTTTTGAATTTAATGTTGCTATAGAAAATGTTAAGAGCTACTGGGAATCAATTTTACGGCAGACAGCAGAATTGGACTAGTAATTCATAATTAAGCACTAAATAACTGATTATCATTTTTACATTTTTCACTAAAAATGGTAATTGCTTGATTTTGTGTACATGAAGCTTTTAATACTGAAGATATATAGTGAGAACAAGCTCAGTGGTGACGGGTATGCATGAATTGCTGTATTTGGCATTTCGTGTCCATGTTGTGGCTGGATATCTAAAGGGCCAATTAAAACCACCAGTTGTTCGATTCGTGTGTGATTGGGCCACTAGGCCGCTGGATGTTGTTATCTCATCTTGCTGCGTGATTACAATGGCTGTTCCTCACTCATTGAGGAGTTTAGCAGCTGTTCCTTTTACAACTGGGGTTTTGGTATGCCTCTTAGAGTTCATGAATGGAGAGAAATAGTCAGGGCATTAAGGGGTCTGAAATGCCTTGCAAATATCTGAACATTAAAATACACTTTTTCAACTTCAACCAAATATTGTCCAAATGCCTATTAAATCATTTAGTACCCACCAGGTATCATGCCTGCATTTTAGGTGACTATTTGCATGCTCCAGGATTAGGCAGAGCAATTTAAAGACTGTCTTTCTTTGGTTCGGTTCTTTTATTATTTTCTTCTTCTGATTTGACATAGAGTGGACATGCCTCATGCTTATCTTACTGAAATATGAAGGAACTGGTCCGCGAAGAATTATTGGAGTTCTGACTCTTTTTGATTGTGCTGTTTAACCTAAGATATCTATATCTAATTGAGGCAAATCTGGGAATCCGATCATATATGTGATGCACATGATTGTTGCCTTGGCTAATTATCGGTGTATTTGTGGTGCATTTGTTTTCTTCTTTGCTTGCCCTTTATTATTCTCTATTTTGCTGATCCTCTTGCAGTCTTATTCATCTCAACGTGTTAACAGAAAATTCAGTTTGATTTATAGTATCCTGTGATTGAAGTCTGAATTTTGAGCCTGTTTATTAAATTATAAGGTGATGGAGTCCCATCAAGCAAGTAAATTGGACACCTCTGGAACTGCAAAGGCTGTTATCTCTTGCTTTCAGAAATTAGGCGTTTCTTTTGATTTGGATGAGGTGCGTCTGCAATTTTTTTTTATTCAATAATGACAGAACATTTGTCCTATTCTGGTTCTTCTATACCCTTTTCTCTCAAATTTCCATTCCTTCTTCCATTTTATTTCGTCCTGACTTTATCCTTTTCATAAAATAGTGCTCATGGTCTTCTATACTCTTACGAACGCGTTCATCTTTACTCAATTTGACTATTTTCTAATACCGCCAACTTTTTTTGATGATGTGAGTACCGTTATTTTAATAACAAAAGCATCCAGAAGATGCGTAAATTACAAAAGAGGAACATATCAGCTCCTAAGGAAGACAAAAAAGAAACCTATAAAAGGACTACAGTGCTGATAAATTCCAAAAAAAGTCAGAGCTATACACGGGTATGATTAACCCAACGAAAGAGGAAAACTAAACATCTAGCCTTAAGTTTGCATCCGACAGTTGTAATGCCGTCAAAGCATTTTTGATTCCTTTCTGTCCATTAGCCCCACAAAATAGTAGCAGGAACCATAGACCAGATTTTCTTGATGGACTTGTCAACTTTCCAGTTGCTCCAACACACAAAGGCTTCCCTGACACTGCATGACACAGTCCATTGCATTCCATTTCTAATACTCCCAACTTTACTGTCCTGCTTAAATAAGTTGAACGGGTAAGAATCTGATAGCATAGAGAAAAAGATTGACTTTATTGCTCCATGGAAGTTCTTATGCTTCATAGCTCTTAAAGTGAAGCATCTGAATTCAAGGTCATTGATGGAGAGTTTCAGGCCTAGGTTGGAGCCAAGTTGAGTGGAAATAACTGCCACAAACAGTTTTTTTTTTGTTTTAACTTTAACCATGTTTTTTTTTTATATGCACCGGGTGTCTGAGTCTCTAAGAGCCCCGACTAATCCCGGGGGTGCACAGGCCCTCGGCAAGGAGTTTCCCGCAAGTGCACCACGGTTAATTCAGGTTTTACCCAGTCCGATGGCCCTCAGAAATTGTTTGCACCCAGTGGATTTTGAACTTGAGACCTTGAAAGGGAGCAAACCCCAAGGCTCAAGTCTATTGCCACCAGGCCAACCCCTGAGGGTTACTTTAACCATGTTTTAGATAACTGAAATGGGCTTCATGAGAGGATCTGATGATAAAGCCATCAGACTCGTACAGTATGAATGTATCACCTCCCTCCACTCCTGTGTATTGCTTCAAAATGGCGCTTTTTGCGTTAAAACTTTTCTTTATTTTTTTGATGAAGTAAGGTGTTATATTGCTGGCATCAAGAAGATGCAAATCATTACAAAAGAGGCTGGTTAGCTCCATTTACACAAAAATATAGTTCTGACCAGGGAGCTAACCAGAAGCGCCAAAAGCCTAAAGTTGGCCATCAAATTAATGACAGAGAGCTAATAAAATCTAGAAATGGAATTAAATCATTTACAGAGGAAAGGTTGCTCCAGCTATATAGATTCCTAAGGCACTTTGCTTTCAGGTAGCTGTTGGGAGTTGATATTCCATCAAAGCATCTGCGATTCCTTTCTGCCCAAATACACCAAAATATACATGCTGGGATCATATGCCAGATCTTCTTGATGGTTCTACCGACTTTCCATTGACTCCAACTTTCAACTGCTTCTTCTATGCCTTGTGGTATTGTCCAACTTATGCCAAAAATTGAAAGAAACATGTGCCACAAATCTGCAGCCACTCTGCAGTGTAATAGCAAATGGTTTATAGATTCTGAGTTGTCTAAACACATGTAACATCTATTCACCAGCTGGAAATTCCTTCTACATAAGTTGTCTTGAGTTAAAATAGCACCTTTAAGAGCTATCCAGGTGAAGCACATGACCTTTGTGGGGAGTTTTGTCTTCCATATGAGCTTCCATGGCCAAAGCTCAATTACTTCATTGCTAGCACACAATTTCTTGTATCCTACCTTCACTGAATAACAACCTCCGTTCAGATTGCCCCATCTTAAACTGTCTTGAGCTTGTGTATTCATTTGAAAACTTTCCAGTAGCCGGAAAAGATCAAAGAGTTCCCCAAGTTCCCATTCCTGCATGTGCCTTCTGAAGAGGGGATCCCATATGTTCCCTGATCTGTATTGGGCAATTTTTGAGTCTGGATCAACTGCTATCTGGTACAGGGCTGGATGAGTGTCTTTTAATGGTTGATTGAGAAGCCATCTATCCTTCCAGAACCTAACCGAGGTGCCATCTCCAATTTTAAATGAAACGTCCTTAAAGAATTCCTCTTTCAGACTGTTGATAAATTTCCAAGGACCAACACCATGAGGGGCTCTACTCTGTTTGGTACTCCATTGGTCTAGCTTTCCGTACTTGGCATTCACTACTTCCTTCCATAAACATGTTCCTTCCTGACCATATCACCACCACCACTTCATAAGCAAACTCTTATTGTGCTTGGCCAGGTCCCTAACACCCAATCCACCTTGATTCTTAGGTTGAATTACCTTAGACCATTTTACCAAATGAAACTTGTGGCCTTCATTGTTCCCTTTCCAAAGAAAGGATCTTCTGATTTTGTCCAGTTGTCTTTGGATCTTTTTGGGCATAGGAAATAAGGACATGATATAGGTTGGTAGGCTGTCCAAGATACTATTGATCAGTGTCAATCTTCCACCCATGGAGAGGTATTGCATTTGCCAAGTTGCCAATCTTTTTTCCACCCTCTCAAGGACTCCGTTCCAAACCCCTATTGCTTTGTATTTTGCTCCCAGTGGAAGGCCTAGATATGTTGTTGGGAATGAGCCAATTACACAGCTCATAATTCTAGCCAACTCTTCCAAGTTAGGCACTGTATTCACAGGGTAAATCATACTTTTTTGCATATTAATGTGTAATCCCGAGATAGCTTCAAAAATCAGTAAAGTCAAATTTAGGAACTGGACCTGGAGCTTCTCTGCCCCACAGAAGATTAAAGTATCATCTGCATAGAGCAAATGTGACACTGCAACTGAGTCAGTTGTGTTGTTTCCCACCCTGAACCCTTCAATCCACTGCATTTGTTTTGCCTTGTCTAGCATTCTGCTCAAACCCTCCATTGCAAGGATAAAAAGAAAAGGAGAAAGAGGATCTCCTTGTCTAATTCCTTTCTGCGGTGAAAAAAACCAACTGGAGCTCTATTCACCAAGATGGAATACTTAACAGTGGTAAGGCTGTACTTGATGCATTTTATCCATCTGTCACCGAACCCCATTCCTTTTAAAAGGGAAAGAAGGTATGACCAATTAACTTGATCAAAGGCCTTTTCTATGTCCAGCTTACAAAGAATACCTGGAACACCACTTTTCTACCTCCCGTCTAGCATCTCATTAGCTATCAGTGATGCATCTGTGATTTGTCTATTTTTCAAAAAAGCATTTTGCTCTTTTGAAATCAGCTTGTCGATGAGTGTTTTGATCCTCTCAGCTAGGAGTTTAGCAATTTGCTCTTTTAAAACTTTTCTTTATATTGAATCAAATTTCTGAAACGGTGACGAGATTTGACAGACATAGAGTACAGATTACATCCACTATTTTTTCTTCCGAAGCTATCAATATATTATCATCCCTGGCACTTTATTGTCATGCTACTTGCTCCTATATCATATCTTCTTCCATCTGGTTCCTATATCTTCCCATAGTGCCATTTTGCTTTGGGGTTTCCGAACCCTTCCGCGACCCTTTTCCTGGGACACGTATTCCTGTAGATAACTTGCAGATGTATGTTTCTCTTTCTTTCTTGGACATTCATCTAGCAAAACTCACCACGTTCTCTTAAATCCATTGTACAATTTCGATAAAAGCAAAAAGTCTTGAGTAAATTCTATTTCCTGTGCGGGATAACTGTTCTATTAAGCTTGTCTGGGATGGTTTCTCTACAGACTGTCAAGTTACCAAATATTTTCAAACTGTGCTTCAAGTTTGGAAGGGAAAGAGAATGAAACGAAAGATACAAGGTCTAATATATTTCCAGCCTTCTTCACGTTTTGGAGGAGAAGCGAATGAAATGAATGAAGAAAGATTAAATTAAATTGGAGTTGGAGCATATAGAGAAATTCAATTTGCTCTCAAGCGTTGAAAGTGATTTTTCTATATAACTTGCATTTTACAAGGTAGAATACCGATTCTCAGATCCTAACAGAATATTTAATTATCCTCATGAATATTCTGTCAGGTACAACTAATACGAGATCCCAAGCAACAAGTTGAGATGGTTGGTGTCCCAGAAGAACACTTGTTAGGCCATGCTTTCCACATGTACCATCTGACCTCACCAGACGGAACGTAATACTGTCTATCCTTTCTTTCCCCTATCTTAATTTGGTTGCCAATGTTTATAAATTGAACAACTTTAACTTGGTATCTCCTTTTTCAGGGTTTCTTTTGAATTTCAACACAATGTTTGTGGTAGATCAATCTATGCGGAGGGAACTGTTGATGCCATACTTTTCCTTGCTAAGAAGGTAATCTGAACCAAAAATGTCGAAATTTGCTATTGGAGCTTCTCTTTGCTGCGATTTCACCATGCATCTCAAGGAAAAAAATTCAGTTAGAAATAGAAGTTTCAAATATAATTGAAGTCTTTCCAACTATTGCTCTAGCTATTGTTGTGATGCGTTCAAGCTTTTTACTCTCCATTCACCAAAGAATAACACTGGATGTTTTCTGAATATAGGTGAAATTGAAAGAAGAGAAGCGAATATACGACATGATCGATGTGCTGCGGGAGGGAAACATGCGATAACAGCTGAGTAACATATGCTGGAGTAGGATGTATAACATTTAGACCTAGGAATGCAGAGAAACAAATGTTGGGTTCAATTTTCTTGGATTTGTCCCTCCAGTGGTTCTTGATGCTTTCGGATTTGTTGTTGCATGATTCTTAAGATGCAGCTACCAAAATAATATAAAAATTCTATTATGACTAGTCGGTTTATCTTCATCCTCCATACAAGTATCATGTGTGCTTCTCTTGAGGAGCTTGTTGTATGCCTTTTTTTCCTTCTACCCTTTGTACTACCATAAGAGAAGGAATGTGATAGGAAGGAGGTTCCCAATGTTTCTGAGAATTACAATATTCACCATGTATTGAGTTTTGGCTATTTTACTATTGAGATTATTAGTACATGATTTACATTCATTAGGTTTGATTTGATTTTATCTGGTCCAATTATTGTAATATATGCCTGGATTAGATGTAATCTTGCCTAGAATCAATAGTATACCAATGTATGTTTGCAGTATTACAAATCCCAAGCAAGCTCGAGGGTGTTATCAAAGTCTTTCCTTTATTTCTCTCTTTGAGTTTGAGAGTCAAGCCACGAATTTTTCATATCCTTTTAAATATTTTGAACTATTAATTATTGTTACTTATAGTACCTTTTATCAAGTTTCCAAATTTGTAAATTTTATTTCAAAAAGCTTAAAAGATTCTATATTCAAATTCATGGTCAAAATTGAAAAGTTTGACTCTCGAAATTTGAACTGTATCATACAAATTAGGATGGATGGAGTAGATATTATGGTCTATATCAGTCGGACTATGGGCTGTGGGACAAAAATTAAAATGATCTGTATAGTCCTAGTGATGTTTCAGTTAAAATATCATGGTATAGCCAGTTTTCACACTGGTCAATGAAAAATAGCCAGCGTTTATCAAGTCAATGAAAAATAGCCACTATTTTGCTGCAACAGGGACCGGTCCAGTATAATATACGGGAGTTCTGGTGCATTTGTGTACGAACTCCAGCATATTATGCTGGACCGGTATACTTTGCTAACTCCTGTAAAATTTGCGGGAGACTGGAGCACCAGTGCTCCAAACTCCAGTATATTATACTGGACAATTATACTTGCTGGAACTCCCGTAAAATTTGCGGGAGTTCCAGCATAATTATGCTTGAACTCCCGTAAAATTTGCGGGAGTTCCAGCATAGTTATCCTGGAACTCCCGTAAAATTTACGGGAGTTCAAGCATACTTATGCTGGAACTCCTGTAAAATTTGCGGGCGTATTTTTTCGGATTTTGAACAGTGTTTTCGCTCAGATTTAAAGTGGCTAAATTTCGATGACTTTTGAAACTTGGCTATTTTTCAACGACCAGTGGTAAATCTGGCTATTTTTGAATTTCTCCCGATGTTTCATATGCTGATGAGACTAGTAGAAAAAATATTGATGGTAAATTGAATAACTTGTTATGGAATACTTTGTAGCTTAGGTTTGTCAATTTGTTTCAATCATGCCAAACTTATGGTATGGTGGAATAAGTATATGAATTTGTCTTAGATATGGTGAGATACTTGGAACAAATGTATCTCTAACTTATGTGATTAAATATATACAATATTCATTATATTCAAGGATATTAATTGGTAGCTTGGGATCCCCTACCCCTCGAGTCCTAAAGCCTCAATTGATTTAAGCCTCAAATTGAAGGCTTGATCCCAAAAACTCAATTCTCTCACCCTTTCATGTTTTTCAAAATTCAATCCCATCGAACTTATTCTCAAGAACATTGTGATTTGTTCTTTTTCAGCCCCAGCAAATTAAATCAATTCATCACTGTCATTCTCGCAAGTTACTTAAAGAGATAAGCGTTTCTGATTCAAAACTGTTTCCCTAATTTCCAGTTCACCTGTCTTTTTCCTTCTTTCTGAACACTTGCTTGGGCTTCACTTCACTTGACTTGACTTGGCTGGATGTGTGAACACACCAAGTTGATTATATGTAATACTTTTATGTAGTTTCAAGTATTTAAATTTTATTTCGACAAACTTAAAGATTCCATGTCCGAATTCATTTGTACCACATAAAAAGATTGGGTTAAAGGGAGTACTAAAGGCGAAAGGTATATATTACTAGTTTAGAGATTAAGGTCTACGCATTGGCAAAGTAAAAAAAATACTTATTTAAGTAACAAACCTGCTACAATAAATTAAAGTACACTATATATAACTTAGTAAATCATTAGCTTTTTTGCAAATTATGGATGAGCTCAAGACTTTTATACCAAGTCTTTCCTAGGACCTATTGTTTTGTTTTCTATGTGATGGCACTTTACTAGCTTCCTACTTTATTCCCTCCAAAATTTGCTGAATATATACTCTTCACCTTCCTTTACCACAGGATCCATCCACAAAATTCTGTATTGGGGGGAAAAGGAAAAACATACTATAAATAATTCTCCATCGCGTGAATTCACTACACATTCTTGTCTCGGAACAACCTTCCACATACTTGCTTAGGTCTGTGACATACTTGTATTGGTCAAAATGTGACTGCTGCAGTCGGCCTAACCGAGGTCCCGTCTGAGAGACGAGATCGTGGAAGACGACATGGTTTGCTCCAAAACCCCGTACTCACAACACCAGCCACGACAAAGAACTATACTCAGGGAACGACGAAAGCGGACGTGGTGCGGAAGTGTATTGACCATAGTGAGGATTCCGTAACTATATATATGGGAGGAGTCTTTCATAAAACGAGTGCTCTTTTTCTCTCTCTTCCCTCTCCTCTGTAATCTTCTTAGCAAAAGGAAGGAAAAGTCATCTTTCATGGAGGATGAAAAACAATCATCTCCATCGATGAACAAAAGAATAATTTTCGGATATTAATAAGATTGATCACCCCTATTTCATCTTATGCATTATTTTCTGATTTGTTTATGGATATGGAGGTTATTATGTTTGACTAATATTTTACTTTTCATTCTTCTCTAATTGATTTAACCAAAAAGATCTCGATAATTTTTTGGTCAAACAATTTGGCGCCGTCTGTGGGGATTTCTTAGTGAAAACTTCCTAGTCTCCTCCAGATCAAAAACCGGAAACACGATCACTCACCGAGAGGAACGGTAAGTGAATCTCACACGCCAACCTAAATCATGATGCTATATACAAGCAAAAGTTGCAACCAACATCATCCCCCGTACGTCGGGCAGCCATAAACCAGTCAAAACAAGCCTATCCCGCACGGGACATAGGCACAAAAAGGAAGGGAAAGAGAACCGAATATGGTTACCAAACTCAGAAAGCACCATCCCCGTCAACCATCGAAGCGCCAAGTAGAGCAAGTAACGCCGCCGACCTACCTTCCTTCACCAACTCATCAGATCGGGATAAGGAGGATATCACCCTAACCCACCTTCTGCTGGTTGCCCAAACAAAAACGCAAGCGCAGCACGGGCGAGCGAGCAAGGAAACATCCCAACGGAAGAATGGGAAATTATTACAGAACTATCAAAATATCGTCCATCAAACAAACCCGACACCTCGGAAGTGATACCCTTCAAATGATACTTCCTCTCCCTCACCAAAAAGGCATCCCAAGAAAGCCTTCCTGGGAACTTAAAGATCGGGCCGACAAGGGGGAACCCCCCCCCCCTCCCGAGGTCAAAGCGTAATTCATCGTCCCATCCACCAACGACATCTCAAGACCGGAAAGCGGAAAGGTTAGATCGAAAAACTCCAATATGTGCGTGAAACAAGTGTGAGCAAAGCAGCAGCGTTTCCTGCTTTCCGATATCACGCTCCCCGACGCAAAAAAAAATCAGGCAAACTGGGACTCCCCCTGAAGATACCCCTCTCCGAAAAATCAGAACAACGGATTAATATTTCGACGAAAGCTCGAAATAACACCCTTAAGGCCAAGGGCCTCCGCCAAAAAGAAGAGTTCGACCTCGATCGAACAACGACGGGTTAATATATTGACGAAAGCTCAAAATAACACCCTTAAGGCCAAGGGCCTCCACCAAAGAAGAGTTCGACCTCGATCGAACAAACGACGGGTTAATATTCCGATGAAAGCCCGAAATAACACCCTTAAGGCCAAGGGCCTCCGCCAAAAAAGAAAAGTTCGACCTCGATCGAACAACGACGGGTTAATATTTCGACGAAAGCTCGAAATAGCACCCTTAAGGTCAAGGGCCTCTACCAAAAAGAAGAGTTCGACCTCGATCGAACAAATGACGGGTTAATATTTCAACGAAAGCTCGAAACAACACCCTTAAGGCCAAGGGCCTCCGCCAAAAAAGAAAAGTTCGACCTCGATCGAACAAACGACGGGTTAATATTTCGACGAAAGCTCGAAATAACACCCTTAAGGCCAAGGGCCTCCGCCAAAAAAGAAAAGTTCGACCTCGATCGAACAACGACGGGTTAATATTTCGACGAAAGCTCGAAATAACACCCTTAAGGCCAAGGGCCTCCGCCAAAAAGAAGAGTTCGACCTCGATCGAACAACGACGGGTTAATATTTCGACGAAAGCTCGAAATAACACCCTTAAGGCCAAGGGCCTCCGCCAAAAAGAAGAGTTCGACCTCGATCGAACAACGACGGGTTAACATTTCGACAAAAGCTCGAAATAACACCCTTAAGGCCAAGGGCCTCCGCCAAAAAGAAGAGTTCGATCTCGATCGAACAACGACGGGTTAATATTTCGACGAGAGCTAGAAATAACACCCATGAGGCCAAGGGCCTCTGTCAGAAAGAAGAGTTCAACCTCAATTGAACAACGACGGGTCAACATTTCGACGAGAATTCGAAATGATACCCCTAAGACCGAAAGCCATCGCCGAAGAAAATTGGGACTCGCGACGGGATGATACTTTGATATAAGCTCGAAAATAAAATCCCTACGGCTAAGGCCGCTATTAGAAAAAGAATCATATACCATTCGGACGTTGACGGATTAGCACCTCGACGCAAGGTGAAAAGCACCGTCCCGTCGGCTAAAGCCGTCATCAAGGCTCTACTCAACCCGAGTGACCTTGAAGTCCCCTAAGAAGCGGGAGGTCAGCTTGCAGAAATCTACTTTGCATCAAAATTACGTGGAGCAAAACAGGAAAAGGAGTAGAGAAGGCACGTGACAATGAAAAATCCTCTTCATACCAAGCCACTGCGCAAACAGCCGCAAATTACCTACAGCTAAAACCAACGGAGTCCAAGAAAAGAACAATAAACAATAATAAAAAAAAGAAGAAGAGAAACAAAGATAGCAATTCTTTCACTCGGAACCATCTCCAAGAGATCCTCCCTCATCACCCACACCCTCATCAGCCTCCGGCGTTGCAGAGGCATATCCACAGTTGACTCGAGCCTCTCGTGCTTTCGCCCGTGCTCCTTCGTATGCGGCCTCAGTAACGTTGCCCGCCTCTC